TTATTTATTCTTTTGGGTACAAGAGGAGAGCATTATATGTCTAGATAATTATGATTTGTTTCTGGAATGCTTGCTTGGTAGAGTTCAAGTATTGTTGAAAAATTTTGCTGGTCCATCTCCTTTTAACTAATTTGTCTGGTACATCTCTAAAACAAGACAGAGTTCATCTTCTCAACATATGCCAAGTGCCAACGGTCAAAATTATTGTCCAAGTTACATATCAATGTAGAGAGGGGTTCGGTGTTACTCAGCATTGCTTGTCTCTTTGTTGGGTTTGTTGCATCAATCCTTCGACTTCTAGGTTTGTAAAACTGCTCTCTTAGGGATTTCCTTTCTCTTATGTTTTCCTTCAAGATCTAATGTAGATTTCTCTAAATTTATCACATTTTCCATTTGATTAAGGAGACTACATTTTTATCTCTGATTATCTGTTTCGATGCCATCATTGTCAAAGGTTTGTTTGGTTATTGAGAAGATTAGAGAAAACTGAGTTTCTAAGAGTTTTTTCTTAGATTGAGGAAATTGAAGTTTAGTTTATTAATCATGCTTGCTTTTTTTCCTTCAATTTTTTACTCAATTGAGTCTGATCGATGAAAATTCAAATTTTCCTTTAATTGAAAAGGATTTTATTTAAATTTGTTGTCTAATGTGTCTCGAATTTGTTCTAGAATTATGAATTCCATCCGGTCAAGTCAGATTAATTCTTTTGTTGAAGAATGAGAGGATGTTGTAATTTCTAATCCTCCTCCTGCAGATCTAGGCTTAAAACTTGCTTTTGCTTGTGGAGGATTATTATTAGTGAGATAGTGTTAATTACATTTGAGCAAAAAAGACAGGTTGGATTCTAAACCTAATTTTGATTTGATTTCATGCTGAATTGTTGTTATGTGCATTATATTTTTACAGTGATGGTGTAGTTTACCTGTGGTACTGATACAATATATGGTGGAATTCAATGGGAAACATTCACAAATCTATCTAACTTATGGGCTAAATATATTTATCTATATTTAACAAATTAATCAGGACTGCATCAAGATACTTGTTGGAAACAAAGTTGATTAATGTTGTTTGTTATCATGTTTCATTTTGCTTCAGTTAGCAATTTAATCTCAAGTTCATCTGATACCTTCTAATGGACCTGTTTGATATTACGGAAAATGATTCTTGAGCATTATTTTATACATGGAATTTAATGGTACCACTCACATTGGTGATCTTAACAGGAAAGTGAAAGGGTTATGTCCATAAAGTAGTGTATATGTTTATTAGATACTCTTTGCCATGAGACAAGTTTATTTGTTGCTTGGGTGCAAAAGTAATATGGAAGCTTACTGGATAGTTTAGTTGTTTATATATTCTAAAGTAGTCCTGTTTTGATTTCTAAAAACAAGTTGACCATGCATTGGTGATTTCTGTTATGTAAACCAGTGGTTTGGTTTTAGACTTGAGACTTTTTCCTACATACATTTGACACTCTCTGTAAATTTACCGACATAGGCATGCATGAACGTGACTGTATTCCTCAAATCAAATATGATTTGAAGTATACCCCTTTTCATGTTCTCTCATTCAAAAAATTTAACAGTGTAACTATGAATCATCCATTACATGTGTGCTGCCTGCTGCTTACCTTAGGGGCTTTAGCCAAAATCATGTTGC